TTGATGTACTGCTGCAACTGTGTGGTGTATACTAATATTCCAAAATTCCATTTCTTTTTTATAAGAAAACCTGACTTTTCCAAGTGACAGAGTCAGTGTTTATTTTTATAAGCATGTTTATCCAAGTTTATAAACTATCTGTTTTTTTTATTTCAGTCATTTTATCATGTAAAAATGATGTTCTATGAAAAAAATGGTTAATTCAGCTTGTAACTCAAGTAATTATACAAGAAGTTTTTTTTCAGGATAAGCATCATTATGCAGAAGAAATGTTTTAGCTGAATTTTCTATCTAATTACACAATATATTAAAAAGTCAGACTCAAGAATTAAAAATTTTAAATGTGTGCATACATGCACATACATGTATTAATTTACTATGAATACATGATGGTAAAACAATACCATAACTGCTAGTACTTGATGCCTCTACTTTGATTCTTTCTACAAAGTCACTAAGTGTATCCATTATTGCTTTTTAACTATCAGTGCAAGTATCAACTTGATGACAAACACACTTTAAAAGACAAGGCAATAACGCATTTGCTCATGGTACATAATAAAACCATCATCTAAGAAACTTCTTTAAAAGCTCTGTATTACCCAATGCCGTTGTCTTGATTAGATGCATAGAGACTCTGTAGGACAGAGTAGAATTGTTCCTTAGGGTTTTCAAGATTGTAAATCTTTACTGGAGTTTATAACCTCATATTTCTCCTGAGGAGGGACTGGTGCATTTGAACTAATGACATTTCAATAAACAGGCTAATGCTTAATCCAGTGCAGCTCCAGAACTTCCAAAGTCTACAACAGAAGGAAAGTTATGTTTGAATCTAAGAAAGTTTGTTGATTATTTTCCCATTTGCTTATTATGTGCTCAGAAAGAAGTGATGACAAACAAAAAGGAGCTAAAGTTGTATCTGAAGTAGCCATTAAGATTTGGAAAGGCCATAAATGTAAGGGAAAGAATTATGTTTAGAGATTAAATTATGTTATAGATAATATATTTAAGTATATAAGATCCCCTGTAGGAAGTCTGTTGTGGTTGTGGTAAAGTGCTGTCAAGTCGACTACGACTCATAGGATTTCTGAGGAGCCGACATTGCATGCAGTTCAATGTGACCTTGAGATTGAGTGTTTATCATACAACACCACACCAGGACTCCAGGAACTCTATGAGAACAGTAATGTTAGTACTTCAAGATAGAAATGCCATCTTGGTTTCTAGAATATTATCTTGGACAATAAGGTATAAGGTACGAGGCATACATTGGACATAAACTACTTTAATATATTACATTAAGCAAAATCATTGTATAAAATTTGTAGAATTAAAAATAATATCAACTGAAAAATCATCTCTCAACATCCTTTTTTAACTGTATGTAATGCAACAAACCATTAAATAACTCACTAATAGTCAAAGATCAGTACAATTTAATGATGGTAATGCTGTAAACTATGGTAAACAAATGAGAAATTGTCTTTATTTAAATGAACAGGTGATATCCTAGCAAACAGAAGTAGAGACAAGGAAACCAACATTCATTAAATGTAAATTTACAACTGAATTTTAAATAATTGATTCATAGTCTATCGCAAGGAAATAAACAGAAATGAATTCAAATAGTTTATTGATAAACATTTCATTGTATTATTATTTATAATAGTGAGAATAAATTAAATTAGATCAATATAAAAATTAATGAATTGACATATTTATGTATTATAACTCATATATGTATCATGATTATCATGACTAAAGATTATAAAAATTAAAAACATTGGAAAATGCTAAAATATAATGCTTTGATTTTTTTTTAAAGGATGTAGCTTTCATATACAATATATCAGTATATGTATTTATATAGAGAGTCCTCTTACACAATGGTTAAGCCCTTGGCTGTGCCATCTTCATAATCACTACTATGTTTGAGCCCACTGATTCATCCACTGTGTCTATCCAGTGATCCTCATTGGGTAATGAAACTATGAATGATTATTATCTTCTTTATATTAATGTATTTTCAAAATTTCTACTATTATGTATCATTTTTTAAGGTAGACAAAACAAATGTAAAATGAGGTATTTGACTCCATTACACTGAAGTGTTTTAAAATCAATGTACAATTCTTCAACACATACTTTAAAAAAACCTTTTCCAGTCCATCTACCCTTCATCCATTGCCTAGTGTTTTCTGAGCAGAGAAAGGTGCTAGAGGGCTTGGTTAAAGCCATTGACTTGTGTATCAGAGAGACCAAAGATTGACTCTCAGTTTGCAGTTGTTAGTTGTATGAAATTAGGCTAATTATTTAACCTGTTGTTACTTAGCCTTAATTTCCTCACTGAATTTTTTCCTCAGACGGTGTAAAAACTTAATTTAGATACCGAATTAAAATGTTGAGCACACAACATGATATATTATAAGTAATCAGTATTCAGGACAATATGGCTTATTAGATGCTCTCAGTATACATTTAGTACTATATCTAAAAATTCTAAGTTTTAGGTTTCAGTTGAGTTTGGAAACATCATATTTCAGGAATAGCTAAGGTGAATAATTATGAGGTTGTCTTCCCAGAAATGTTTGTCAGCATGGAAATATTGCTATTGTTGTTAGGTGACATCAAGCCAGTCCAACTTATAACAATCCTACGTACAACAGAAAGGAGTTCTGGTTGTTGTTGTTGCTGTTAAATGCTGTTGAGTTGATTCAGACCCATAACAACCCTGCATAGGGTTTCTGAGGAACTGCTGGTGAGCTTGAACCACCGACCTTGTGGATCAAACCGACTTTACAGTCCAGTGCATTAACCCATAGCGCCATACCAGGACTCTGTAATGGATTTTGAACTGAACTGCTAACTGCAAGGTCAGCAGTTCAAATTTATCAGCTGCTCCATGGAAGAAAGGTGAGCCTTTTCTGATCCCTTAAAGATTTACAGCCTCAGAAACCCTATACAGGGTCACTTGCTATGAGTTGGGAGTGAATCAACTGCACACAACCATTTACAACAGAAAGAAACACTGCCTGGTCCTGCCACATCCTCACAATTACTGCTGTTTGAGTCCATTGCGGAAGCCACTGTATCAGTTCATCTTGTTGAGAGTCTTCCTCTGTTTCACTAGTCCTCCACTTTACCAAGCATGATGTTCTTCCACAGAAACTGGTCCTTCCTGATACCATGTCCAAATTATGAGAGAAGAACTCCCTCTACTGTCACTTCTAAAAGCAATCCAGCCAGAATTCTTCCTAAACAGGGGAACAGAAGAAATAAAAAGTTATTGGACCGAGAGTCAAGATAGAACATCTATCAAAGATCAAGAGTATATAGGAAGAAAATTGCTGGTGAAAGTGTAATTGAGGTCATCTATTCTAGATAGGGAGGAGGGTGAACCTAGGGAAGTGCTACAGGGTCAAAGGACTGAACATCTCAAGAAAGACAAACCTCTCTTAGTTGTATTTAAACAATCAGTCAACAGATTTCAATTCCAAATATGCCCTTGAAGTGAAAGTCTGAACAACATTCCATTGCCTCTGCCAAAAAAGTGCTGTCTTTTAAAGGTGAACTTGGCTTTTTTTATTGGACATAAAAAGGATCTTATGGGAAATCCATATGTAAACCTGTCATTTGGGGTTGATAGCTTTATTCTCTATTGAACAGGACAGGACTACCAGTGTTTTGTCAGTAGTAGGCACAGCTGAATCTCTTCAGAACTTCCAAACTCTTCACAATAATGACATTGAGCATCAAAAGGGCAGTTGTTGATTCCCACAGGGATAATTAGACCTGTTTCCTTTAAGTTAGAACTTCTTCCTTTGATTCTATTAAATATGCATAGTCCTTTCTAAGTGAGGGGGAGAACTCAGGGTTTGACAGCATTGGGAA